TCCTGTCCATCGTTCTCCGTGAGACGCCTGGCAACAGTCCAGAAAGCTGGGCCTTCGCCCCCCCGCCCCCTGCGTGCAGACGCAGCACCGGGCTGAGACCAGATCGGGGACAAGGGGAGGACGGCTCCATTTCTAACCAAGCCTCGTGCTCCGAGCCGGCCAGCTCCGACCTGGAGCTGTTGGTGACCGCGCTGGGGACGGCCTGGGACGGGCTGCTAAGATTCTCCAGACAGTTCTAGAAACCAGCGCTTGCTGAGAACACCGCCACCCTGGCTTTGGACCTGTTTGCTTTTTCTGTCCCTTTTTATGCTGTGTGACCTCTGGTGGCCTCCTCTAGGAGGTGGACTGAGATCAGGAACTAGTACTTACTGAGCACCTACTACATGCTCGCCACAGCACCAGGCACTCACACACTCCAATCCCAACTTGCCCGCAGCTGCTGGGCAGCCTGGCTCCAGGGAAAGCCCAGTTGTCAGCTTGGAGGAAGGAAAGGTGCCAGCTACAGGCTGCCCAGGTCACCTCTGTAGTGACGTCCAAGGTGGTGCCGTTCTCCACGTTCCTAAAACCTCAGTGACGCTGACAAGGGATGTGTTCACTCGGCAGGGAATTCCCGCCTGCCTCCCGCGGCAGGTGCGGTGTGAAGCGTGGGTGTGTGTGACGTGGGCCTCCCTGTAAGGGAGCCCCTGAGATCCTGGGAGACGCGGACACAGCAGGGTGCGACACGTGCCCCGTAGGTGGCTCAGCCACACTCGAGGTCCAGAAGGCTTCTCGGAAGTGGCAACACTTACATGGAGTCTGGAAGCCCGGGTGGAGGTGTGCCCACGGACTAGGTGGAAAGAAGGTTCTAGGAAGAGGGACAGTGAGTGGCAGGACAACGCCCAGGCGCAGGGACGGAGCAAGTGGCTGTGAACCCAGGCTGCCTGACTCCAGTACACGCTGGTCACTGCTTTGGGCCCAGGGAAGAAAAGCAATTGCGAGGGGCCCAGCAGCGGGAAGATGGGCACGGTCCTCAGCCCAGCAGTTTGTAATCGCTGCCCCAGCCTTGCCTCGGTGAGTTTTTCTCCCTCGCTGCTTCGGAGTCAGGCTGAGCACGTGGAAGGTTCTGAGACGTTGGGATGGCAGGTTACTGGCTCTCCGCTGTCGAAGTTGCCTGGTTAACGTCTCTCGGACGGTCACTTCTCGTCCAGAAAGGCTGCTCGCTGACAACAGGGGGACTCTGAGCTGACTGCTCTGGAGGTGCCAGGCTGGCCTGGGGCTCCGGTGGGTGGACGCTGGGGCAGGCGCCGGGCCTGGTCCTGAGCGGCCTCTGCAGTGACATGCAGCAGACCCCCTCCCCGACCTGCCTCGCTCTCTCCTGGGTGATTAATATGATTGACCACCATAGCAATGATCTCACTTAATCTGTACATCAACTCAGGCAGGAAGTCTTCACACCCCACTTTTCAGATGAGGAAAGGGAGGCTTGTGGAGGTGAAGACTTGCTCAAGATCGTCCAGTAGGTAAATGGAAATCCGAACCCAGTCCAACCGACTGCAAAAGCCACTCACTTTGCCCCTGACACTGTTCTAATCTTGCCAGCATCACCATCCCTGCTTTATAAACAAGGAAACAAGCTCAGAGAGGTGGCGTCACTTACCTGAGGTCACACAGCAAGCACTTGGCAGCAGTGGGGTCCCAGCCCAAGCCTGTCTGACTTCAGAGGCTCCAGGACAACCTTGCCTCCTGGCTCAGCCTGAACTTGGAGGAGGGCACAGGACGTGCAATTAGAAGGATCTTTTGTCCTCCACTCCCTGGTCCCCATCCCCAACCCTGTCACCCACTCCTAGTTTTGTGGGTCTGGCAGATGGGGAAACAAAGAGTTTGTTCTGCCTTTTCCTCCCCTGGGGCCCTGACCCTGCAGTACTGGGGTGAAGCCTGAATCAAAACTTAGAGAAGACTGGGTCCAATCCTCATGTTGCCCTCTTGGATCTTGGGTGAGTCACTCATTTGTGAAGTGGGGTGATGGGTTAGGTGGGACCCTGCTGGCTTCTCAGGGGAGCTGGGCGGAGGATCGGGCACTGTGAAGACCGGCAAAAGGCAGGGACATCAGCCCCAGCACTGACGACCTCATGGGGGCGGTGAGAGTATTATTAACATTCTGTTGTTTTCCATCCGCCCTGTAGCTCAGCATTATCCCCCAGCTTTCCTGCAGCGCCCACACTGTGCAGGGCTCCCTCCAGACCCGCAGTCGGTCTGCAGTCAGTCTGTGGCTTCCCTGGGGGCGCCGGTCTGGCCTGTTGAACCACATTTCTGACTGGTTTCCTGCCCTCCGCCCTCCAACCTGCTGGGAGACCTCTGCCTCCCACCCCATACCCTAAGGGGCAGAAACCGGAGGAGAACCCAGCTGTCTTTGTGACAAAAACCAAAAGTCAATAAAGAAATATTTACTGAGGACCTGTAACGTGCCAGGCACTTGAAATATTTAACCCTGAGAACTCTCCCTTGTTCAGTTCTGATGAAAGTGAGGCTCAGAGGTGCTCACCCCTTAGGGCCACGGAGCTGGAAAGGAGGGGTGGGGAGCCGGGGTTCGGCCCTGGGCTGACTCCCTGCCTGGATAGCCAGACCCTTTCCTCCCTCCCCTTCCTCGCACCCCACTGACCTGCTCCTCCTTTGTCCTCCGGGTGGCCCAAGTCTGTGGCTGGCTGTCTTTCCGAGAAGAAATGGAGACTCTGGGACTAGCGCTCACACCTGGGGCCCCTTGAGCCCAATCCCAACCCAGCCCGTGAGCGCCAGGTGGGCCTGAAAGAGGCTGCCTGCTGGACTGCGAGCAGGGGGCTGCACCTGGGCCTGGGCGAGGCCTGGACTGCCATGGACAGCTGAGGACAGCTTCCGAGAGGGGTCGGAAAGGACCCTGCACTTGGGGGTCATCGCTACCTTTCCAGCTGGCTCCACCAGCAACCAGCGTGTGACCTTGGACAGGTCTCATCCCTTCTCTGAGCCTTGGCTTCTTGGTCTATACACTGGGGTATTTTCATTTCTCTGGAATGAACGAGTCACGGTGTGCAATTCTTTAAAGGAAAGCTCTGGGTAGGACGCAGTGCAAACAGGAAAACGTGGGTTCCCTAGTTCACAGATTATTAAGAATTTCAAGGCAGTGGTAGCAGGGCAAGACACTATACACACTCAGCTTTTGGAAGTGCCGCGCGTGCGCGTCCACACCGCGCCAGGGCAGCAAGGCGCGTCCTTCCCAGGCTGGCGGCGGCCGCGTACCCTTTGGGCGCCAGGGCAAGCGGGTCTGGCGTCCAGAGCAACGGGTCCGCGGCATAATCGCCGGGGCGCCTGCGCCATCTAGCGGCTCGGCGGCGAGCAGCAGCCTCCGCTCACACCCAGCGGGTTCTACCTGGGTGCCCTGATCACCCCACCTGGGCATGGGGTTGCTTACGAGGCAGACCTGCTGCATCCGTTTTAACCCTTCGTCTCCCACCGGTCACCACAATCATCTGTCTTACTCCGTATCTCTCCGAGCATGTACCTATTCTGCGTCAGCATTAACATGAAGGGGGTCTTTGACCCCTTGGACAGGGGAGTCGGCGGAGGATGGGGCTGGGGTTCAGGTGGTGGGAGGGTTGGATATTCTAGCTGCCGCCCCCGCGTCACAAAAATCCTTACTTCAGGTGTTGCCCCTTGATCCTGCCCTCTGGGAGACGTTGGTGGCTTGCCTTGGGGTCCAGACCTAATTTTTTAACAGCGCGTGGGCGGGAACGTGGCTCAGATCCTGTGCTTCCTTCTGAGCCCTGGGCGGGGCGTCCCTCCCTCCTTATCTCTGGAAGCCCTTTACAATCACCTGGGCGGCTTCTGAAAGCGTCCTGATTGCCCAGCCCCACCCACTTCAAACGGTCTGGAACGGGGCGCAGGTGTTGGTGCTTTGCAGGTCCCCGGGGTGATTGTGCTGTGCGGCCGGGGTGAGAACCGTGGCCTTGAGGTCGTCCCACCTGGTGGTGCAGGTTCAGACCCCGAGTGGGAAGGGTCCGCAGCACAGACCCTCGGCTTGGGCCTAGGATGGCCTTGGACATGGCCAGCCCCATGTCCAGCGTCCCTGGATGACCACATGGCTGCACTGGGTTGGTGCATGCAGCCCAGCGACCTCCCGCCAGGCGAGGTGGCAGTGAACAGCAACAGGGTCGGGAGCGTCTCAGGCAGGCATGAGATGTGGCGAGTGGCCTTCTCTGAAACCTGAGGCTCTCCCCTGGTCTGCCTATTTCCTCATCTGTTATTTGGATTGGAGGAACGCCCGTGTCTTTCTGAACTGACTACAGATGAATGCTATTTGTCCGAGGGGCCCGCAGTGCCCCTGGTAGGAAGACTCAGGATGGAGAGAGAAGAGTTCAGTCTGTGGAGCTGTGTGTGACCTTAGGCTGGTCCTCACCTCCCTGAGCTTCAGTGTTCTCATCAGTAAAACCAGGACTCTCCCTTCCAGCATGTTCTACAGTGAGCGTGAAATCACGTCCAGAAAGCCCCTGGTTCAACACCTGGCATGTAACAGAGGTTCCGTAAACTGCTGTCCTTCCAAGAATGACGCTTTCAGCTCTTACTCTTTTAAATGTGCTTTTGGATGTGTCAAATGGGAAGATCAAGACCCACAGTGTTCTGCCTAAGTAGCCATTTGCTGCGGACTGGCTGAAGCCCTTCCCCAACCCCTGGGCTGCATGTCCCTCAGCGGGAGGTCCTGGCCCCCTCTTTACCGCTGCCTCCTCGCCCACACCCCACGAGGGTCCGAGCATTCTACAGAACAGGGTCTCGGGAGGGGCAATCTTGTTGGGAGGCCTTGGAAGGGTTTCCTCCTCCAGCCGAGCCGCAAGTGCCTGTGGTCCCGGGATTTGCACCTGAATCGGATGTGTGCCTGGAGACTGGCACTTGGCAAGAACTAGTAACTGGACACTGAAGGAACGGACTAGCCCTCCCTTTTCACACAACTTAACTCTCGTGCTCACAGGAATCATGGAAGGAGTGACGACTAGGAGTGTAAGAAATAATTCTGTTTATTGATTAGAAGATGGTATAAAATTACAGCGATTTGCAGGCATTTGGGGCTTTCTGGAAGGGACATGCGGTGCTGAGCTCTAGCGGGAGATGGCGTGGAGACATGGGTCACAGGGCGCTGGTGCCCGTCCCGGGCAGTTAAGGGGTTTGTACCGCCAGCACAGACGCTGGTGTGAGAGAGAAGCATCGGTCCTGGCCTCTGGGAACAAAGGACGTGGGCAGTTTGGGTCATCGGGCCACGCCACGCTTGGTAACTCAGTCCTATCCACACAGGCAGGTAGGTTAGGTGCTCGCACTCCCCATGGGTCGTGGTAGATTCAGGTTGTTCGGTGCAACACTCACTCTTCCCACTGAAGGAAGGAAGGGCAACAGGCACGTCGGTTTGGGAGGCCGGCTGAAGATGGAGTGCATTTGGCTCAGGTTGCCTTGCTTCCAGATCCGTGGAGGGGCGGGCGGACAGGTGTGCACTACTAAGCTGAAGCAGAGGGGCCGTTCTCGGGGCGGCCGCGTGGGGCGAGGAGCATGCTTCCAATGTCGTCTGGTCTCTCTCCGGGAGAGGGAGGAGGGAGAGCTGGCCGTCAGAGACCCAGCCGCGTGGTGCCGGGCTCCACGGGAGGTCCTCGGCGAAGGCTTCTTCCCAAGTGGAGAAGGCCTCTCTGCCCAGGAGTCAGTGTGTGAGACTGGGAGGGGGCAGATCAAGGTGTTCAGACGTGGGCTTCATCCAAGGTCTCCGACAGCCGGATGGCTGTGTCCGCAGTCACATGACGTTTTGGAACAGCTGGAGGGACCTCATGATGTTGTCGTCCTGGGGAGGGCCGAGGGAGGGGGAAGGAGAGAATGGTTAGAATTCGGAGAGGCTCCTCCTGAGAGACTGGGACGAGCAAACCTCCAGCATGAGTCCCCTGGGCATGAAAAGCTCCGCCCTCCAGGCCTGAGGGACCGAGGGCCAGGAATGAGGAATGCGGGGCCCTGGCAGATCAGCCCCTCCAGGTGAGGGGCACCTTCTCTGGCCCCAGGAAATTTGGAAGGAACCGATTATCCGGTGAAACCGTGAATGTTGCTTCTTGGAAGCAGCTCTGGGGGACTGCATTTTATCAACTGGTTTTTCTGCATCTACTAAGATGATTGAGTTTTTTCTTTTTTATTCTATTACATCATTAATTACACTGATTAATTCTTGAACATGAAACCAATCTAGCACTTCTGTAACACACCCCATTTGTTCCTGATGCATTATGCTTTTGACATATTGCTGGCTTCCATCTTTCGCATCCGGAAGAAATGCATACTCCTGAGTTGGTTTTTTTTTTTTTAAATCTTGTAATGTCCTTGTCAAGTTTCTATATTGGGTTATGATAGCCTCGCACATCAAGTCGAGAGCTTCTTCTTTGTCTACTCTTCGAGTTTGTATAAAATTTGTATCCTTTTTTTCCCTTTAAATGATTGGGAGGATTTACCAGTGAAGGCATCTGAGCCTGCCATTTCCTCTGTGGGGAAGTTTTAAATGACAGACTCGAATCTCGTTGGCAGGCATAGGACTGTTCAGGCTTTCAGCTGGTTGTTTTGTTAGTTTTGATAAGTTGTATTTCGTGGGCATGAAAGTATTGTGAATTACAATGTAATGAAAATACAACACCAGAATTTGGCGGCTATGAAGCAGTTCTCAGAGAAAAACTTACACATCAGAAAAGAAAGGCTGAAAACCAGGGATGTGAACCTCCATCTCAAAAAAGCGAGGTGGAAAGCTAGAAAATCAAACTGATATAAAAGAGCAGAGGGAAGGAAATAATTCAGAGCCCACACTCACGGAATAAACAGCAGGGCTACAGTAGGGAAAATCGACAAAGGTGAAAGCTGATCCCGGGTATGTGCATCTTCTGATAAAACTTTCCAGAGCAGGGAGGTATGATTTCATGCTGTCTAAGTGTGCTGCGTGGGTTTTGGAGTCGGGCTGCCTGGAGTGGTTCGACCTTGGTTCTGTCACCTACTGGATGTGGCTTTAGGCAAGTTCCTTAATCTCTCTATGCCTCAATTTCTTCATGTGTAGAACCGTATCGATCCTAGCATTCATTTATACAGCAGGCTGTGAAAACCAATGAGTTAATTAATGGATAGCTGAAAAAGCTGCTAATGTGGGAAACTGAATTGATTCAAAAGCTGCCCAGCAAAGTCCTAACAGCCTGCTCCCACAGTGCGTGGTGTTTAAAACTAGAACGACAGAGTTCAACTCCCGTCTCGGTCACAGAGTGTGTCTTCGCCACGTCTTGGAGCTTTGCCGCACCTCCGTGTGCCCTTCTTTAAAATGGGTATGAAAACGAGAGCTGCTCAGCCTTTCATAACAATCAAAACTTCACAGTTCACCTGTTGATGAGTAGCTGCTGGCCTGAACCTCTCCCACCCCACGTCTTCCTCTCTGGCTCCTGGTAATTGGCTCAGGACCCCTGGACCAGCCAAAGATCCATCAACGAACAGGTGGGCAGCTAGCGGGGGTTCTCTAGGGCACTGCTGGGCCAAGGTCGGTGAAGAGTGGTGAACTCTCAGGCCGTTCTGGTTACTGCCGAGTTAGAATGTCACCCCGGATGGGTCCCCTCCACCTCTCGGGGTTGTCCTGAGGTTTCCACAATGTGCCTGAAATGCAGTGGGTGCTCAGCAGGTGTTGATGACGCCTCCCCTGCTCTCTCGTATTTGCAGTTCTCACGGGCGGAGCTCAGAGGGACTGCACGGCTCTGAAATAATGTGCGGGCAGAAAGCAGTTATTTCCAGATCAGTTTCTGGCGGGCCCTGGGGCCAGTCTGTCCGTCAGACTGATGTAAATGTGGTCCAATACAACACAATAAAAGAGAATGTGGTCCAAGGACCAGCAGCATCAGTATCACTTGGGAGGAGGGTGGTCAGAGAAGCAGCCCTCGGGCCCCAGCCCAGAAGGGCTGGACCAGGATGTGCGTGTTAACGAGGTTCAGCGAGGTTGGGTTGCATGTTGAAGTCTTAGAAGCATTGGTCCGGGGCACTGGTATTGAAATTGAAGATTTCTGGACCCCACCCCAGATCTGGGGTCTCTGGAGTTGAGGCCTGAAAATGTACCTTTCGAGGATCAGCCCAGGCGGTTCGAATGCACACTGTCATTGGAGAATCACAGCTTTTGATTTATTCCCCAGCCCTTCCCCTGTCGTCTGTGGGTGGGGGTGGGGGAAGCGGGTTAAAAAAGGACCGTGTGCACGTAGGTTGCTTCCAGCACTTGTTTTGGTTTTTAAAATTAGAAGGGCGGAGTTCAACTTTGTCAACTATTGTAAATCGAGCTACTATGCACATTGCTGTATCAGTGGATCAAAAACCTGCAGTGCATTTACACAGTGGAATACTACGCAGCAGAAAGAAAGAAGGAGCTCCTGCCCCTCACAACAGCATGGATGGAACTGGAGAGCATTATGCTACATGAAAGAAGCCAGGCAGTGGAAGACAAATACCATATGACCTCACCTATAAGCGGAACCCAATCAACAAAACAAACAAGCAAGCACAACAGAACCAGAGACACGGAAATAAAGAACAAACTGACAGTGACCAGAGGGGAGGGGATAGTAGGGGGGGATATAGGGGAAGGGCCATCAAGGAACATGTACAAAGGACACATGGACAAAACCAAAGGGGGTACGTTCGAGGGTGGGAGGAGGGGATGGGTGGGGTTGGGGCTGTGGTGGGGTAAAAATGGAGACAACTGCACTTGAACAACAATTAAAAAAAAAGGATGGTGCGGCCCACTTGGGGAGTCTGTGGTTTCAGAGACCCCTCTGGGCTTTCACAATGCGCCCCCCGCCCCCACTGCTTCTTAGGCTCAGTTCGCGCTTGGCCGAGAGCAACCGCAGGTCATCCCGGGGAGCGGGGATTGATGGGATTCTGACTCGGTGCTGGTGGTGCTGGTGGTGCTGGTGGTGCTGGTGGCTCTGACCTGAGGGGTCACAGGTTTCTCATCCTCTCCCGTCTGCAGGCCACCGAGCCCCGACTCTCCCAGATTTTGAGACATTGTGCCCCGAGGTCTCGCCTTACCTCCTGACAGGATTCAAGGAATTCGTCCAAAGTCACGATCCCATCTTTGTTTTTGTCCATTTTCTGAAAGACACAGGAGGAAGCACTTTCAAGAACCTGGTAATCTGCGTTTTAAGCCTTGCCTTTTATTAACCACCGCGGCCCCACGGGTACTGCACTTCGACCCCCGCGAGAGCACTTTTCTTAAAATGTGAAGACACGCTCCGACTCTCATCTCTGCATCGCCAGGCTGGTCTGCCGACACCTGTGTGTGGCGTCCGGGGCTCTCCTACTGGATCTGGCAGACAGAACACCGGACGTGACGGCTCCTGCTTCTGCCTGTCACTCCCTGCGTGACCTCGAGCGGGCCTGTGCCCCTCTGCTTTCCCATGTGCAGAGTGACAGGATTAGACTGGAACGAGCTCTGGCGTTCCTGGACACTCTACTGCTGGGTGCATTTTTTACTGCGACACCGCTAGATCTTGCCACTCTTCTACCCACGATGAACTGCGGCTTCCCACTCTCTCCGGGACACGGATGAGGTCTTCAGCCCAAAGACCTCATGATCCATCCCGCCAGGGCTTCCAACCTTATTTCCCTTCCTCTCTCGATGCAAACGCTTACCACCTCTGCACATGTGCTCGACAATGTCTCCTCTGTGGACTCGGACCCTCCAAACATTTCTGTGGAACTTGGAGTCTGTACTATGTGATGTATACTTCCTACAGTACACACCTGTCTGCTAGTGAGAGCGGCTGTTCCCGGAGAAGAGCACATTGCAGGTCTCCCCTGCTTCCTACCATGTGCAGGACGGGTGGCCACGGACCGCCACTCAGATGGTTGATCGGTTGGGGGATGGTTGATCTAGGGTGAGCGTCCAGCTCGTGCACAGGTGCTCACTTACCTGGAAGAAGACGTCCACGTGCTGCCTTGGAGTGTCTTCTTTGAGCACAGGATAGGTGTACTTGCCCATCATGTCATAGATGGCTTTGACGATGTCCATCATCTCCTGTGCGGGGGACACAGAAGCACTCAGTGGGGGAACCATGAGGTCTTTATCCCCCTTATGAACGACCATGATTACAGGGCCTTCTTCAGCTGATGAGAGGGAACTGGAAAGGAAGTCGGGGCGGGGCGGTATTCTGGGAGCCTCCTCCTAAAGAGAGGAGAGTGGGAAGTTCTCTTTGCCTCTGTAAGCCCGTGGGTAGGATTCTTTTCTCGAGCGTTCCCCACAGTGAGGGGTTACGTGGAGATTGGAGCGGATGCCAGCTTTGGAAGACCCTCTTCCCACTCCATTAAGTCCCTCGAACGGGTGAGCCTGTGTGGCCGAATTTGTACCAGGTGACCTGTCCCTGTAGCCACAAGTGACATTAATGACAGTTGACTGGAACAGAGGTGGACATCCGACTAAAGCTGAGCTACTCTGTGTGACAGGACACATACCACCTTATAAAGTGATTTTTTAAATGCAATGCGGCACATGAACGTCTCGATCTTATTACTCCTGCCTGGTGTTCGATGGCCGCCTGTATTTGCATTCTATGTATTTACGGGGTTCACGCAGCCCACCTGCTGAGAGGGGGGATCAGGGTTTGCACGTTTCTGGGGTGCTCCACTTTATCCTGAGCACCTGAACACCCAAGAAGCCCTGAAGTGTATGCCGAGTAAATGCACGGCTGAGTAAGTGGGGAGTAAAAGTTGGGGGGACCCTTGCAGGGCTGTGGCGAGGCTTGGTGCTCGGGATGCTATAGGATGCTAAATCCCCGCTCCCACCGAGACCCCGGGTGCAGCAGACACCGAAGGGGGTTTGCAGATGGCCCGGTGGGTATTTCCCTGGCTGGACACCACGTGGGCTCCGGGGTGCAGGCCGTGTCAGTCAGGGAAGGTCTGGAAATGATCTGTGATGATTAGACAGCCATGCCCGCCACCACCCTTGTCCCCAAGGGTTTATTCGTAGGCAGAACAGCTCGGGGCCTGTATGATTCCCAACTGTCGTCTCCGCTTTGTTAAAAATCTCCCTCTTCTCTTCTGGGTAATAACTGCGGAAACTCTTCCAACGTTTGGTTTCTGTGTCCGTCCACCATTAAATGCAAGCTCCCCAGGGCAGGGCAACTCTACAGGGAAGTCAGTCGCGCATGCCCGCAGTGGAATGTGTGCTGGGCATGTGCGACCCAGTGGGGATGAAGGACTCTCCTGAACCCTTTCTCGTGCCTGGGACAAGGGCAATGGGAGGCCAAAGGTGCGCTGCCCGGTTTGCCTGGCCCCGGCTCTGTGGGCCCCAAGCAGGTGCGTCCGCACTCGGACGGCCTCCCCGTCAGGACGGGGCTGCTCCCGTCTACAGTCACCAGACGCCTGCCCTCTCGTGGCCCCGGCCTCAGAACACTCACCTCTTTGTTTATGTATCCGTCTTTATTGATGTCGTACAAATTAAACGTCCACCTCAGCTTCTCGTGGACGGTTCCCCTCAGTAAAATGGACAGCGCGGTTACAAAGTCCTGAGAAGGAGAAGAGGCGGGAGTGACATTAACGCCAAGCCATCGGGTGGCTGCAGTTCTGGGTTCGGGTCCGACCCGGTGACTGCTCTCAGACAGTGGTTCCTCCCCTGTGCTCTGCCCCTGGGAGGATGTGGCCGGGCCCAGTGAAGAGCACCCCCCCCCCCATTCCCCGCCCTGCTTGGAGCCCTGTGTGTGGGGATACCTCCAGGCCCAGGGACACCCAGCCTCCTGGGGCTGCCGCATCCCACGGCTTCCCTCACTGTCTGGGTCGTCCCGTGGCCAAGAACGTGGACTCTGGGCACACCCTCTCTGGGTTCGAGTCCCTGCTTTACTGTCTGGCCTTGGGAAACTCGCTCCATGTCTCTGCCCTCTGTGTCTGATCATCAGTAATAGCCCCCTGCCTTGTATGGTCATCTCGAGGATTCAGTGAATTCATACATGCAAAGCACTGCGTACAGAGCCCGCCACGGGGTCAGCTCTGTGTGAAATGATTAGCATCTGTCCCCGGAGGCCCAGAGCCCCGGAGGGCAGGTGCAGCGGCTGCCGCTCCTCCCTGTGTTCGGGAAGCGCTGGCTAAACGGACGCAGGTTTCTGAGTCTTTGACTGAGGGCATCGGATGCTCTTACCCTTCCCCCAACACCCCGGGATGTGGAGGGAGAGGAGGCAGACGCCTGGGAAGTCCCACAGACACACGTACCTCGAACTTGACAGAGCCAGTCTGGGTGGTGTCGAAGGCGTGGAAGAGGTAATGGGCGTACGTGCTGGCGTCTGCAAGGCAGAGAAGAGGACGGGGCTGGGGGACAGAAAGGAGAAGCCTCTGCGGTGGCAAACCCACCGGGAGGAGCCTGGGCCCGCCTGGCAGTCCTGGGCTTAGATGGCAAGTTCTAGCCAGAGCGCAACAGGCCCTGGCCTGTCCGACTAGCCATCCCCGGAGAAGGGCTGCCGCCCGTCTGTGTGTGGTGCTGGTGGGGGAAGGGCACAGTGCCGTCACGGAGACGCTCTCCCCGGTGGCGGGGCGATGCACTTGGTCTGGGTAGCAGCTCTGTCCCTCCATCCTGGGTGCCTGCAGGCCCCCCGTGCAGCCTCTCTGAGCTTCACTCGCCCAGCTCTGTGCAGCTCTGTGTCTCTGGATGTTTCTGGAAAATCATGTTACCCTTTGTACCGAGTCACTGTCAGAGCCTCCAAGCCCAACACACAGTCCAGACTCGGGGAGGAGTCGCTCAGGACTCAGCCGTCGGCCATTCTGGGGCCTGACGGGGACCAAGCTGCCCCCCAACTTGGGCAGGGCCCTGTGCGGGGTTCCACACCCCAGATGTGCCTGCTGCCACCAAGCTGTGCTTGGGACGCTTGGGTCTCTGTTTGGTCAGGGTCCAGGAAGGGCCCCACAGAAGACAGCTCCTGGGGACAAAGTGTAAGGCAGTACGTGACACGTGGAAGCCAGAGGAAGAGCCACGATGTCACAGGCCCGTGGGACCAGAGGGGCCTCCCGCGGGGCAGCAGGGCCCCTGGTGGAACACCCTCGCTGACCTAGATTTATAAGCACAGCCCCCTGCTCCCTGCAGCTTCCTGGATTTGTTTATTTTACGGCCTCTGGTACTCGCTAAAGTTTCTTTTCCAAAGTCCTGACTTGCCTCGGCCGCCGTCAGGAAGAGAATGGAGAGCGTGGAGCACGAGGATGGCGCGGACACGGTGGAGCCTGACCTCGCCGGGGCCTGCCCCCTCTGTCGCTGCCTGAAGGCCCAGCCTCTCTGAAGCGGGGAGCACACCACCCGCCTCCTAGAGCTGTGACACTTCCTGAGATGGCCCTCTCAGCCCCCCTCCTCCTCCCCCTCCCCTGCTGGGCAGGGCCCATTTCCGGAGCCCTTTCCTGCTGGTGCGTTAGCCAGCTCCAGCTCCGTGTCTTGCAATACGGGAGGCATCTTGCTCCCAGTGCTCCCCAATGTCAAGGAGGAGGCATGCGACCAGGAGCATGACCCTGGACAAAGGAAGGCTGCTCGCCAGAAAAGGGGCCGGGCGGGATCTTTTTCAAGGTCGGACTCACCTCCGTGAGGGAAAAACTGTGCGTAGATCTGTTTGAATGTCTCCTCGTTGACCACGCCGCTGGGGCACTCCTGCGTGAGGGGGACAGAGTCAGCGGGGGTGTCCCCCCTGAAGGGAGTAGCCCGGCCCTGGGGTCTCAGGGTCCTCAGGACTGCTGGTGGCAGGGACTTCCACGTCCCTGAGGTGAGTGGCCGGGAGGCAGCCGCACCTTTGGACGGAAGCTGCTTGGCAAGGTGAGCCCTCCCCACAGAATGAGCACTGGTGGTCGGGGTGGGGAGAGTTTGCACTCGGGGATGAGGAAGGCCGGGGTTTGGTTCCCGGCTCAGCCCTCTCTAAGCCTTGTGACTTTGAATGAGTCAGTCTCTGATCTTCAACGTCCTTGGCTGTGGAATGGGGCTAACAGGACCTTCCCGGCGAGGCTATGGTGAGGTTCAAAGAATGGGAAACGTGGGGAATTAACCCACCGGCATCCTGGCTCCCATGCCGGCCTCTGTCTGCGTGGTTAGCAGCCGACCTAAGCCCCGGTGTTTCAGAGGCACCAACCGCACTGACGTTGTGCGTGGGTTACGAAGGAGCCGTAAGTCATCCTCACCAGCAGTCCTTCTTTCCAGCCAGGGCGTCCTGCTCTCACGGCCCCCATATAACATGGACCCCCCTTTCACAACCACAGGTATGAAAAAGCCCCCCAGTGGGCCCCCTTGGCATCCGGGGGGCTGAGCCCCAGAGAAGCCCTGCCCGCGCCTCGGAGGCCCTGTGGGCCCTTACGTTTTTGAAGCCGCGATAAAGGACTTGTAGCTCCCGCTTGGTGAAGTTCGTCTGGGCCTCGAGCTGCTCCAGTCCCTCAGGCCGATGGCAGACCATGGTCATTTCCAACTCATCTTCGATCTTATCTGGAACCAGAGGGGACGGCGTTGGAAGGGTGGCCTCGGGGGCCCCTGTCAGACCAGAGTTGGGGCTGGCGCAAGGGTGGTGATCGGGGTCAGAGGGTGGTGGGCCGGGACCACACTGCGGACGACCGTCCCCCCTCCCCGGAAGCCCCACCCAGTCACCTTCTGTCTCTCACTGGCAGCCCACCCTCTGCCCCAGGTGTGTCGGACACCAGGTGAGGACGCTTCAGCGCTGGACAGAAACACACTCCAAGGTGAGACAGGGTCGGAAGTGCTAAAACCAGCCCACGTGAGAACATTCCCTTTCTTTGGAAATAATATCTTTGCATATTCAATTTGCTGCCCACTGAACATCTGGATGTTCTAGAGACACAGGAAAGTGAGCAGACTGATCAACACCCTCATGCAAAGGGAAACACACCTGTTTAAAAAAACATGGAGTGAGCTCTCACCATTTGGGACGGGGGAAAGGCTAGTGCAAGTTGGCAAAAAGTGCAAATTAGAGCATTCAGTGTTCACTTGCGAGTCTGGGTGTGTTTCTCAGTACTGTTTTGTAATGCTCACTGGCCATACATAATAGGAAAACAACTCAAACGGGAGCCAGTCCACATCAATGAAAACTTCTCCGGCACGGAAGGGCTCTCAGCACAGCTGTCTTAAGGGGTGGTGGAACCACAACGCAATGTAGTTTTGCACCAGAAATCTGGGGAGCTCAGTGAATTAAAGCGAGAACTCGGCCCGTCTCCTATTTGGAGGGTCGCCAGATCCAAATCGCTGGACCTCGCAGCGTCTCCCCCCCCCCCCAGCAGGGTGCGTGTGTATTCTCCAGGCCCCGCTGGAGTGCATCCTATAAATTTACTCCAATCAACAACCGATTACCAGCTAACCTCCTCTGCCCTCTGCTGTCCTGAAGATGCTCCCCGATCCATATATTGAACGGCTGTAAATCTGGCAAGAACAGTGACCAGCGGTGGGCTGGCCACGGAGAGGGAGCACAGGCTGTTTCTGCCTGAGAGAACGGGGCGGGGGCAGGTGTGCGGCTCTGCCTTAGTCTCTTTGCCCCACTTTTCCTTCGACACTTTGATTTCAGCAGGAAAGGAACCCCGCAAAGTGAGCTTGAATCCTGGACCTTTTCTCAAGGGGACGGACCTTTGGCTAAGTTCCCAAGGGAGAGGCAAAGGAATTTGGTAACAATACTTACTACTGTATCCCCGCTGGGGGTCAGGCGGATTGTTCAACCAACAGAGGGCACTCTGTTGATGCAACAAGCTATTTTCTTACAATCCTCACAGAGCCTTTAATTGTTGTCATGTTTGCAGCTAACAAGTAGCAATTACAGACAAACAACAGAACCCCACCTAAGTCTAATTCGAAGTACTCACAGATAGTTAACTCATTTTAAAATATAACTCAGATTTTTGGTTGAATTCAGTGTTAGACTGAATAGCAAGTTTATTTTAAAAAATGCAGGTATTTAACACTGAAACGAGGTAAAAGTTAAAATGTAAGTACGGGTGAAAAAAATGTATTTTTGGGAGAAACGGGGTAAATTTAAGACATCTAGTATATTTTCCAAGTTTATCTTACCTAGAGGCTTCAAAGATATTTTTTACAGGATTGTCTTATTTCTATTGACCTCCTTGTGACTGAATCCCTCACAAGCTCAGAGAAATCCATCTCTGCAGGAGTTCGAGAAGCTGTGATTCAGAAACTGCACTCGCTTGCCATCTCTTTGATTAAAAATGCACAAAGTAATTATTGGAGTACCGACTATTAAACTCGTTTCATTAAGGGAGGCCTGGACTTTATTAATAAATGATTTGTTCGCCACCTGGGCGGCAGGATCAATTTCCATGTCAGACGGACTCTATGATGCCCAGAGACCCGACGCCAAGCTTGGCCTTGCCTCCCCGGTCATCGCCCTCTCCTTGCCAGGCCGCGGGGGGCGTCCGCCGTGGAAGGACACCCCTGTCTCTGGGGCTCCAGACGCCGGGACGCAGCTGGTGCGTGGGCACCTGGGCTTTCCCCAGTGGGACTCCATTTCTCTTACTGTCTCATAGTTAGAATGAAAGTTTATATCACAGCCCAATGCACACATACCTACCTATCAGCCAAAAATTTATGAAATGTTTTGAAGGGAAACATTGACGAAGTCATTCCTTCCCTCCCTCATGTGAGATGCACCGTGTTGTCAATTTTAATCTCTGTCTTTGTGAACCGTGGGTCACGCGGTGAAGATCGGATGGAAACCATTAATTTGTGTATTTACTTTTCTTCTTGTGGCGGCGACCTCCTGGGGTGCTCACACCAGGCACCCCTTTTTCTCACTCCAGCTCTCCCTCCTTTTGCTTGGGTGCCTTGTGGATTGGCCACTGTAAACAGAGTCTGAAGAAATGTCAAAGGGGACACAGAGCTTTCCGTCCCCCCGCCCCCAGACTCCCCGGGTGCTTTCCGGGGTGTCCAGGAGGGTGGCCCAGGTCCTTGGGTGGAAGGAGAGGAAACAGGGCGAGTGGGCAGGGAGTCTGCCAGCTTCTTCGGAGGTTTGTTAGGAGTCTCTGACGCCACATGTTGCTCAGTGTCGCTACTTTTGTCATTAAAAATACTGATGAGCCCGTTACCAAGTCAGACTGGGTTTGGATGACAGAAAGTTAACTTAGAGATTTCACACTGCGGCGATAACTACACAACAATGGTGCATTAAATTACCTTCTGTTTGTAAAGTACTTCTCATTTGACAAATGTGTCCATGCCCCTGAGTCGCTGACCCTTGTGGGTGGTGGCGAGGGGGGGACCACGGCCTCTGGCATCGGAAAGCTCAGGAAGAGGGGAGCACTGACTGACAGAGTTCTCCACGTGCGAGCAGCTTAGAACGTGGGGGGCCATTTGGAACAAGTAACAGGGGAGGTGGGGGATTCCGGCTGAAGGAGAGGCCGGGGAAGACGACTCGGACCAAGGGGGCCCTAAAGTTTTGAGGTGTCAGGCTCTTCTGGGTGCAAATGAAGGCTGTAGACCCTCAGGGAAGAAAATGCCCCAGTTGCGGCGTTTGGCCCATGTTCTCAGGCACTTCCTGTGTCTGTTAAACACACGGAGCCCGCGTGAAGGGCTGTAGCTCAGGTCCTTAAGTGGCTTTGCTTGAGTCCTGAGTCACACCAATGGGTGGTGACAGGACTGGACCGAGAAGCCATCGGGTCCACGGCCTCTCCTGTAGATGTCGCTTTCCTGTGCCCCGTACAATGGCTGCTGCTTTCCTTGAGCACAAACTGAAAACTGGTTTGTAACAAACCCACAGTGGTCCTGCCCCCAGCCAGCTGCGGCCCAGGTTAGACTGTGGGAAGTAGGGGACCCACACCTTCGATCTTCCCCATGAGGCGCCTCCTCTGTTAGGTCCACGGCCATGGTCATCTCCTTCTGCTGGACTGGAAAACAGCTTCTCCATCCTGGGGCCTCTGGGTTGGACTCTCTTCCCACCCACCTGGTCTCGAGGTTACAAAACGGTGTCTCTTGGCGTGGACAGAGCCCAAAACATAGGTGTCACTGGGCCCATAAAATGTGTTCCAGTTTGTTTGGAATGAACTGCCAGTATTTGAAGATGAGAGATGCATGCACACACTTGGATTTCTGGTTCTTCATGGAAAATGGGACTCTCTGACAACTCCGGTCTCAGGTTGTCCCAAGGCAGTAGTTTACGAGAGGGGAAGTGGCCGTCCCCTCTGGTGCTCACTCCATCGGCCACCTGGGGCTCACGCCCTCCCGCCACGCCCCCTTCCTGGCTCCGGAAGCATTTCAGCTTTTGGGGTCTGACCTGTGCCACTTACCTCACCCTGCCGACCTTCCTCCCGCCTCACCCCACTCCGTCTTCACCGTCTCTCTCCCTCAACGTTGGTTCCACACAGTCCCCTTTCTTTCACAAGTGGATTGGAGCAATTATATGAAGTAAATACAATATAATAATAAGAGGTAAAGCAATAAGGAAAACTGCCTCAGAAAATGTGGATTAGATTAGGAGGCCAAGGCTTCGGGGAAAAAGAGGACGTAGAAATGCAGGTCACTGCACTTGACCGCACACTGACTCTGAGATCTTCCATACAGGTGATTGCCCATGAAAGGAACACATCTCAGTTGCTTGGGGAGAAGCAGAGCAAGTTTGCTATGACTTGTGTCTAAGAGAGTGTTTCCAAGGGTCTCTGTATAGGTGGGGTTTGTTAGCAAGACTAATCACAAAGCACAGACGCTTGACTAAATAGCCCCTCCTTTGAAAGGAACGTGACCCAGGTAGTCGAGTTAGTTTAAACTTTTTTTTTACCTCTCTGATACTGGTAATACCACCAGGCGAGGTCTAGGAAAAAGTGAGAAAACATTTTACCAAATCCATTCAACAGAAAAGCAAACCACACTTTGATTTCCCGAGGCGGCTCCTCTCCGAGGGTGTTCAGGCCGCCGTCCAGCTGGACACGGGCGGCGAGGCCTTGGCGCGGAGCTGGGCTGACCTCCTCCTCCCTGTCCTTTTTCCCAGGGTCAGACCAGGCAAGAGCAATGGGTCGCCCCGCAGTGCCCACGGCGCCCAGCAGGGGGCTCGCTGAGCACGCCCACAGCCATGCAGCCATGCAGCAGAAGAGATGTGGATGGCCTGGGGCGGAGGATGCACGGATGTGGATGGGCCTCGGAAATGCCCGCGTGTTTGGCCGAAGGGCGGCTTCCAGATAGACACCCTCCGCAAAGGGTGCCCCATCTCCGCTACTTGGTGATTCGAAGCCGACTCTGTATTCGTTTATTCAACAGTTACCAATGAAGCGTCTACTCTACGTACAGCGAAAAGTAGGCTTACAGTTGCGCCATCCTGTATATCGGTGAAGGCAACAGCTGTGCCCCCTGCTCTCCCCGAGCTCACGACCTACAAAGTCTGCTTCTCTCGTCCCTTCTCAAACAGATGAGTCATAAAGAGGCAGAAAAAAAGCCACTGAATAGCTAATGAGCACGGGGGGGACCTGCGGGCAGAGTGGACG